AAAAAGAACGAAGAGGATTCCTTGACATTTCCAAAGGAATCCGCACAAAAGTTCTCTTGTAAAACATTGAATCCCCAGTTAAGTTTGGCAAAAAATGATGTGGGTTGGTTCCTTTCTGCTTAACGCGGTCCAAATACCCCGGCCTTGCGCAACGTAATCTACACTTACCTAACCTAACCTAACTTAATCTAACGTAGTCCAACCCAACTTAACCTCACGGAGGCTGTAATTGTCATGAGGCCCTATTATTTTCGTTTTGGTTTAAGCAAAATTGACTTATTGCTAGTAAATATTTGAACGCTATTATGCTCGCCGTAAGTTTGAGACATTTTTTTTAGATTTCAAAAATTCCTTACGCTCAGTAATTTTAAAGAGATAGATTTTTTCTTCTTCTTCCCCCCCCCCCCCCCNGGGTGATCATAGAGTCCAACTCCACAGACGTGGAGCTACATTACCTTACACGACTGTGCACTGACCAACCACGATTGGAATCTTCCAGAATATTCGGGAACCAACAGTTATCAACAAACATTAAGATATGCGCACTTATCGATGCTCGTTCGAACATCCCAAGACACCCCGCGGAAACGCATCGCTCACCAGCCCTCGACAAACTACTGGAGGCGCACGTTTCAATCCAGTCCCGTCGCCGTATCCTTTGCACCGATTATCTCGGCTCTTTAAATTCCGTTGCAAGTTTGTGAAGCATTCGTATGTTTAAAGTGGTGCTTCGACAGTGATTGCGTGAAGATTCAGATAATTATAATCAATAAGTAGACACCGGCAAGTCTTATCTTTTACGTGCGTCCGCGAGACCCAGTGCTCCCAGATGAGGCCAAAAAGGCCACAATTTGATGATGTTTGTGTTGCTGCGTAGTTTTTTTGTAAATTTAAAATAACATAGGTGACAGTAATAAAAAATACCCTTGTTTGTTGTTTGCAGTATATTCTTTCCCCCTTTTTAATGGGGAGGCTTAAATCGATTTCAAAAATAAAGAGGACGATGTAGTTTCTGTGATCACCGGGAAGGAATAGCCTGTTTTGGTGTGCAACATGGCAACAGCCGCCGTCAAAGTGTCACCGGCTCGGTAGAAGCTGGAAGCAAAACAAATCAGTGTTTTTTTATCGGCCGTCCGTTCGGATTAAATCTGCGTCCAGGTTTCCCGTCCCCGAGGAATTTTCCGGGAATTTTTCACAAAACCGCGCCTCCCCCCGTCTCCTCCCGTGGCGCGGTCTCCGCGGAAATGTGCACTCTGTGTTTGTTGGTCGCCGCTGACTCTCCCAAGTGACTTCTCTCCCGTCTTTTCCTCCACCCTGAGCGATGAAACCGAAACCGCCCTTCGAGAAACGCAAGTCGATGAAATTTTTCGTTTGCGAGTAAGGCCCCTTTGTTTTTCTTACCTATTTGATCAACGTTCCACTCAATTCAAGCGTCTCATCACACACGAAACGCTACCAATTTATCATTTCTCCGCCACTCACACTGAGAAAACAAGCCACCTGTTGACTGGTTGTCCATTATTTCAACGGGGATTTTTCATTTTTTTTAGCACTGCGCAAGTGCGCCCAGTGATTTTCTCTATTTCTCTATATCTCTTCCAAATGGGTCGCATCTAACAAGAAGGAACCAGCGCAATTACAGTGTGGGAAAAATGTTGCTTCTTCATAATGATCTGAAATATCTCCCAAAATGGCAAACAGTTTTCACTTCCCACCAAAAAATTGTTGATTTTAAAGGAAAATAATTGTGTAAATTTTAACGTGCATAGAATCTCAAATTTGCAGAATCAGCGTCGTTTTATAGAAACAAAAGCTCCCAGAATACGCGTGGGACGCCTACGCCCCAGAAAATAATGTGATGAAAAAACACGTCAGAAATTGCCGCGTACTCGATTGAATCCAAAGGGTGAACTAGGTATGACGCCCTGTATTTTTTAATCAATTAAGTGATTGATTAAGTATGACGGTGAGCATGGCCGGATTCACCTACTTGCCTGTATTTTGCCGCCCCCTCCTGAGTCGTTTTGAAACTCGATAAAAACCATCAAATGAACGTGTCAGCGGGGGAGGGGTGCATAACACGCATTTACTCGTCTTGAACACATTTTTTGGGAAAGCTCTGTCAACACTACTAGCAAAAGTTCACGGAACTTTGAGAGAAAGTTAAGTTCTGTAAGCCTATCTCTGTGTGGACAAGGTCTTCTATTCATGAGAAATGAACGAAATAATTATGAAAGAACAAACATTATGTTGTACATAAAAGTACAAACATAAATCAATGATTTTAACTTCCACCGCCGCGCCGCGCAGACCGCACCTTGTGTGGCGCAATGCGTGAAGTACTCACGTAGTCTTGTAGGCGCTATGCGTTTCACGCTGACCGCAATGACCGCACTGTGATGCAATGCGTGAAGTATTCGTGCAGTCTTGTAGGCGCTAATATGTGTTACATGCCGATCGCCGCGCCGAGGGCTTCTGCTTTTCATCTCAAGTCCTCGTTATCATTTCTTTCTAAGTTGTGCCGTTTTAGGCCAAATTGCGTGTAAATGGTTTCTCTCGTAACTCGACTTATTGTGGGTGCTGTCTCTTGTATGAGATTGTAAGAGACGATAAAATTAGAAATTACTATACTCTCAGGAAATGAGAGATTTTGTCGCATTTTATCGTTTGTAATTTTGTTTTTATAAATCCGATTTTTTTTATACCTATACTCTTTAAAAAATTGCAAACATTTGCCGCCCCTTAGATTTGCCGCAATGGGCCGCGGCCCATGTGAGCACCCCCTTAATCCGGCCCTGACTGTGAGAGTAGCGGCATATTAGTTTTTCTTTCTGGATAGAGGGGAGCATATACAATAAAGGATATCATATCATGTACCATATACCATACCATATTCTGTACTATGCACCATATCATATACTGCACCATACCATATCCCCTTCAGGTTGATTGAAGAGTATTCCCCATTTTTATGAAGTTTTCACTCGAGCATATATATGCTGTAATAGATCTTATTCAACCGAATTAAACCACAAAGAGGCATGCACGTCTAGAATTTCCATATTCCATAATTCCTTTTGATTTATCTCATTCGCATGCAGTTACTTTTAGCACGAATACTTTCGTTTGTGTTCGAGAATTCTTGAAAAAATCCCACGGATCGGGAATTTTCGAGCTAAATGGCGCCGTGAGCATTTCCTGATTTTATCGGATACACCGAAGTGGAGGTCATTGAAAGTTGTTCAATCGATCACTCGCCTCTTTTTTGCGGTGTTGATGAAAATGCTTTTCCCCCGCCTAAATTGTGTACCGTCAGGTCTTCTAACTCCATTCCCGCCCAACTCGGCCCTTGCAGCAATTACTCAAGAGACAGACTGGAAAAATGCCAATCCGCCGAGCAGTAAGCAAAAAAAAAAAGAAGGAAAAGAAAGAGGAAACCACCGTCTTGCTTTTCCTGGCACTGAATAGAATCTAATTTAATTAGAAAAAACCACCCAAGACCAATCTAATCCTAAGAGAAGCTCTAAAATTGAAAAAAAAAACCCGTATCACTTAGATTCAAACACGTTTTAAAACAAAATTTTGAGAAGAGAATCATCGGTATACCCTCCGCGCCTGCCTTTGTTGCTGAAGAAAGCAGTAACTCCAGTAATGAGATTTTGAGAAAATAGACCTATAGCAGCGCCCGAATGAACAATGTTATGATATAAATCCTGCGTCCTCTATGAAAATATTAATTATCATTCAAATGGCTCCTAGAGATAAGAGTCAATCTTTTTGATTCATAAATGCTCAACAATTCTCGAATTTTACATTTGACTGTTCAAAGAGAGACTCATTCATCTCGTATTAGACAAGACGGTAGGATGTACTATTTTTTTAATGCTGTGGTTATGTTTTGGACTAACAACAAAACATTGTACGGTTAGAAATTTGCAGAAAAGGGTGATGATTTATCCTAGACAGCAGAAAATACTGCGTTCTTTAGCGGAAAAATGTGAATTTACTGCTGTTCTGTTTAACATGATATCAGTTTCACCCACTTCTTGCTTTCTTTTAACTATTCTTTTTTTTTTACAAAATGAGCACATAATTTTGCCATTATAGCCGAGGAAATTAGCTTTCTTAAAGAGTAACTGTAATATAATTTTAAAGGAAACTTGATCTCCAAAATTTGGTTGTTTCTACGCTATTTGCAACCAAATTTAGTAACGTGTGTCAAATTAAAGTATGCACATGTATACCTGGTGTTCGCACTATAAATTTCTCGAACTGAATTTGTTTTATTTATGTGAAAGTCAACAGTCAAATAACAGGAGATGACTCGGTACTGTAACTAACTAAAAGTGGCTGGCCAAAGTTTCATAGTGAAAATGACATACTACAACGGTACACTTACTGCAAACCGCAGAAGCAGGATAAATATGAGTGAAACTCTTTTTTACGTCGCATTTTCCAACCAGATCTAAAATACTCACCCACTGCGTATCGAACCTCCCCCTCCCCCCCATCTGCACTCAGTTGGGTGTGCATTCTCTCTTACTCCTCTAGCCTCTCGTTGCTAGCACTTATTTTGCACCGAAGTTGAGAAATTTCCGGTCGATACCGTTTCAGCTACAAAAGTGCGCTTCTTCATCTTGTACCGTCTTGATTTATTTCTTTCGGCCTCTTTATTCCTCAATTCATGGGCACTCCAATTAAATTACTTTTTTGGAATCAAATTACTTCAACTCACGAGTGAAAGAGTTCTTTCCTCGGATAAATACTGAGTTTTGAAAAGCCTGTATCACCTCCTCTTCAGAATTACATACGTAAAGCCTTAATTTATTTATTTTTTCAATATATATCACCGGAAGGTCGCACAGAAAACGGGTTTTTATTGGAAGAAGAGGTAAATGTGTTGAAGAAATACTATACTAGCTATCAAAAGTAAAACTGTGATTCATGTGTATAAATTAAGTGTAAAGTCTAATGAAGATGGTAATTTTTTTTTGTTTCAGTCATGGCGAGGACCTCATTGTCACACCTTTTGCGCAAATTTTGGCTAGCTTGCGCAGTGTCCGCAACAATTTCCTTTGTCTCACCAATGTGCCGACTGCCAAGTAAGTATCATTATTCATAATACTCCTATATACTTTTTCTTATCCACCTCAGCTTGACTTATCTCTATCGCACGGGTGGTGTGAGCTACCGTTGGGTATCCGACCACTTTCGGATGATTCTTAATAACTTACACTTTGAAGGGTCACAGACGATTGGCACATGAAAAGCCGGACATTAAATATTCCTCTCCAACAGGAGTATATTCTCATTACTTTGGAGAACTTAAGTTTTCAGTAGATCCTCGACGAACCCTTTGAAATTTCAGGTTTTAAATAAGGTTTCAGGCGAAGCAATCCCTATCATTCAGCTGATTTTAGAGAAAGTACGATTGACGCGATTTTAAAGTTTTGAGGTGAAGTTTTAAGATCAGCTTCGACGCAACGGAAGTTTACCCGAAGCCCTAAAAATCGTGTCAGACGTTTTTTAGAATCAGTCGAGTGATTGGAATTTTTTAATCTTGTGATCTGTCAACTGAAATCCTTGTTTTTTAAAAATTTCAAAGTTTACAAATGGGGTCTACTGAACTTCCTCCAATTTTTCGGAGTATTTATTTGCAACTTAACTTAGTGTGTCCGAAAATTTCAAAAAAATACATTTTGGACTTTCTCAACAAGTATATCTAAGGGGCTTGGAGGACAAGGCACATAAGTTGCAATTTTTGCTATCTCGAGAAATACGTGTTTGAGGTTTTGAATTTTTCACAGAATATGCAAGTATGCAATAAGACTAGTTTTACTTGAATTCATCAATATCGCAATTTTTTTAAAAAAAAACTTCACTTATGCGCCTCATCCTCCAAGCCCCTCATACCTTATCGGAGAAAATTTGGCAACCACTGATCGCTCATACGACTTACTCCCGTAGCACGGCAATATGAGTCTATCCGACTTCTTCGGATCCGACTCCAATCGATCCTTTTTACTCAGTTTCAGGATAGTAACTTATGCGTTATTGGCCTAATCCTTGAAGCGTATTCAACAATACACCCGGAGCTTTTAAGGAGATCAAGTGGGGGAAAAAATGAGGTTAGACCGATGTAAATGGAGCACAATATTAATGAACAAATACCTTATTTCTCAGATTTTAGCGGTTCGAGCTGAAGTTGCCTCGTAAGTGGGATTAATCTTGAGGAACAGAGCCGCATGCACTGCGCCAAGTGCTTTATAAACTTTTTCGCTCCGCTGCCGTACTTAGAGAAGACGCCGCGGGTCGTATGAACCCTTAATTGGATGTTGCCAGATTTATCCAGAGATATTCAAAGTTTTCGAAAGAGCTCAATGAATTTTCGCTCAGAAGTTTTCGGATGAGTTCTTTAATTTAATGTAGTGTATCTGATATCTAAAAATGTCGAGGAATTTTATATATAGTATTCTCCCGCTATAACGACACTCATTATAACGAAAATCTCTCTTGCGAAGGAATCGCCCGGTCCCTTGTCGATTCGTCATAGCGAGAGAGTACTGCATAACTTTTCTAAAACTATAATTTGCGGAGGAATTTCGATAAAATTTGGTCGAAGCTTAGTAATGCGAGATAACCTTCCAACAAGTTTGATCTCATGAAATACACAATCGTTTATAACTTTAAATTTCTCATCCAAAATAACACTACTTAGTCCAATGATACTATTAAATGGATTACATTTTGCAAGAAGGAACCACTATTTCTGGGCCTTTTTAGAAACAACATACATGCTATTAGTTTTCTTATGCAGATATGCGCTTTTATGGGAGAGCTAGAGATAGTGGTTCCTAATTGCAAAATGTAATCCAAATGTATCACCTACTTTTGGCATTTTTATCTGTTATGACGGCTTTTTTTTAGACGAGAGTCCATAGAAATCCCTATGCTAAATTTTGCAATGCAGGCGACCTCTTCCTTTCAAATCTACCTTTCCAATCCTCTTTTTTGAATGCAGCTTAATAGTTCAAACGGAGAGACGAGCAGGGGGAAGGGAGGCAGGTGCGATCGGTGTAAAAAATGAAACGCAATTGTGCGATGCCTGGTTCTCGTTGTAAATTCAATTTGTGACGTCATTAGAGATCTCTTTGTTTCGCGCGCCGCGTTTGATTGGTGTGCTCTAATTGATATTTCGTCGCTCTTCTGGCGTAAGGGCGTATCTTGATTCCCTTATGAGCCCCGTAAATCATGGAGTTATATGGAGAACGGGGCTCACGTCCAAATCGAGATACGCCCTTACGTCAGAGGAGCGACGATTTTGCTGTGGGCCTCTTTGCCAATTCTCTCGTGAAACGCGTCTATTCTATAAATAAACTTTATTGAAATTAAAAAAAAAAATGTACTCGCAAGTTTGGTGTAGAAGTGCTGTAAGAAAGAGACAGAAAAAAACAAGCTGGTAGTCATATACTGTGTTGAAAATACGTGCTCTAACGTTTGAGAGAGTATAGCAGCACTTGAGAGGTTAATTACCTACTTACGTGGTATTATATAGCCTATCAATAATTTTAAGTAACAATGGACCATTAGACAAGGTACGAATTAAAGGATTCTGATACATGTTTCTTAACCAAAATTTCACGCAAAATACGATTCGCGCAACGAAAATGACTGAAACCAACTCCTAAGGAAGATATTAACGTCTTTATTTCACATTGGTCTCGAAGAATTTGAACTGCCCGCTGACAAGAAACTCAAAGCTCTACGTGAGTCATATCACGCACTACAATGGTTTCAGCAAGCTTCTCAATCGAGCTATGTTCATTTCCCACCACGTGTTGTTCAATTTATGAGCAATTTGCTGTAGCTGAGCCAAAGCGTCAAGACTGAGGTTGCCAGATTTTTATATCGCAGAGACTATCATGATAATGTTTAGCGCGCGATGTGAATCACGTAGAGCATTGAGTTTTCATGAGCGGGTGGTTTCAATTCACGCATCAAGAATCATTAAATATCTTCGTAAGGAGTTAATTTCGGTCATTTTCGTTGTGTGCATCGTGTTCTACGTGAAATTTTGGTTAGGTAACATGTATCAGAATGCTGAAATTCGTACCTTGTCTAGTGGTCCATTATCATTATTCTTCAATATTCTGTTCAAAAATAAAATATTTACAATACTCCATAAATACAGTATAATTGAGGCACTAGATGCGAAAAGGGCACTTCTCGATTGCGGTGTTTCAGAATCTCTACTGGTAATTAATCCCTCGGAGGAGACTTTAATGGGTGGTTATTCCAGAATTCTTTCTGTGGAAAATTGTAGAACTGAAAGAAAATTGTAGGAACAATTCCAAAGAAATGGATGCATTCCCTTTCTTTACAATATTTTAAACGATAGAGGAGACTATGAAACACTGCAACCGAGAAGTGCCCTTTTCGCATCCAGTGCCTCAATTGGAACAGCCAATTATAATGCTAATGGCGGGAAAAAATCGTCAATTGCAAATGTTGCAAAAAGTTCAGGATCTCTTGAGACTGTTATAACTGAAAAGAATTGGAAATATTGTCATAAAAATATGGTGAGATAATATATTGTGTCTTGTCTTTCCGCCAAATGGCTTTTGAACCAGCCAGAATATCAAACTCACTGCTTAAACTTTTCCCACTCAAGATGGGTCGGTTGCACGCACGAGATACAGCCAAATAAATATACTGTTTACGCGTAAAATCACACGAAAATCACGCTGTGCAGGTTAAGAAAGTCTGAAATATTTTCCTTAGCTGGCGTACATTTTATCCTTTCAAGTATATGCTTTCCAAAAGCCCCTCTCTCGCAATCCTTAAAAAATTCGGTTTTGGAGCGATATTTTTAGTGAATAAAATATATTCCTAAGCAGTGTATGATTATTTGGATCGAAATTCTTCTTTCAGATCAAGGCGGTCTTCAGGTGCCGCAGGCAGTGGAACGCCACAAAACAGGAACCTGACACCCGGTGGTAAGTCATTTGATAATTTAAACTCACTTTTCTCCTCCTCTTTATTCTCTTCACCCTTTCCATTCTCCCTCTGTTTCATAATTTTAATCGTGCATTAGTCTTCGTGTCCCTTAATTCTTTCGTCCTTAGAATTGAATCCTGAAACAGGTGGTTATGAAAAATCACCATCAGCTGAATAAAATGAGCGGAACTCAGCAAAATTATTAGTTATCCAAAAATAATTTGTCTAGTTTCACTAAGCTCTTACAAATTTAAAAACAAAGAAGATAAATGTCTTTTTAAGAATGCACGAATTAATGCCTCAAATTAATCACATGTATTATTTTTGGATCCATGTCATGTATCTATGATAAAGCAGCCACGATGTCTATTACTAACAATTTCATTCGCTCATTACTTACGGACTTTATGAAATAAGAGAAATTAAAAGGCTTCGTCATTCACTGTAAGATCTTTTGTCATGGTCTTAACGTATGAAAAGATCACTTGACCCTCCGCTCATACGTCTCTTAACACGTTTTATCTCCGGACAAAAACCACTGTGAAACTTCTTGAGGAACGCTGTGTCAGGAAATGGAAAAGCGCCGAGCAGAAACGGAAGTGAGATTATTTGCTTCTCCTACCGGAAGTGCAAGGAAACTAGGGGGTATACGAGGCACCTCGCTGTGATTTCACTACCCTGAAAGGTCGCTCTGTTGCCGGGCTTCGTTTAATGTACAATAATTTTAGTCGTGCATCAGTAATTGTCTGCACTGTGTGGCAGCATTGTTGGTGTTCTTTTTTTCCGACGCTCTACAGTCCTCTGTTGAAGTACGAAAACTCCTAGTATGAACTGAAATGTTAAGGTCACCCAATCATCAAAACTTCTTGGTGAACGTTGTGACAGGATTGAGCTCTCGTCCGGCAATTGCCGTAAGTAGAGAATCTAAGTTTTACGTTTATAAATCGAATTGGTGGCGTTTAACTTCCTCACTTAATATGAAAGAACGAAAATACTGAAAAATGTGACGTTATAGTATGTGAGAATGTGTATATGAAGTGCAAGATTTATATCCAGCAGATTTTTGATGGCTCCAAACCTAACTAAAATTGATCCTAGGATAAGTTTCAAATTCTTATTCCGAAGTTTTAAATCAAAAGAGTTTAGTTTTATCGGTCATTATAAAAATCAAGCGCACTTTTTCTTCTAATCGGATTTCAACTCATAACTGCGGAAAATGACGAAGACTACAACTTTACCAACGAAGGGGTTGAAATGAAATACTAGAACTATGTTGAACTATTGGTGAAATATCTTAATACCAATATGATTCGATATAAAGATCCAGCATCCACGTCTCAATGCTACTCCAAATCTTGTCCAAGTTTTCAACTAATTAATACAAAGCAATTATAGCGGCAAAAGTCAGGGCCGCAAGATAGAGCACTGGAATCAAATATTATATTAATTTATTATAATATATTTATTATATGTAATCAAATATATGCTTTGCGATTTTTCGATTGATCTGCCATTTAAACCAATGGAAAATCAATAAGCAGGGTGTTCGCTACAGGGTGTTCACAACGAACACCTTTAACAATCGATTCTTTACCATAGGTTCAAATGGGCAGATATCGATAATCGATCATTCACGCCTCACCAAGTCACCAATGGCCTCTCTCGAGCTGTAGCTGCAATAACATGCGTTAATGTTCTACATTCCTAAAAACCCGGAGAACGGAACAGTTATCCAACCAACAGTAAATAGTTATCCTGCCAGTATTTTTTTAAAGGCATTCTTTTACGAATGTTTATTACCCATGTTTCACTTTGGGAAAACAAAATCAGAAAAGTTTTTTTTAAAGCTTAGGTTATTTTGCACGGGTTGCAACCCTCGCACCCAGAATGAGTGTTTATATTTTTCATGCTTCGAGAGCCTCTTAAGATTTCATGGAACATTTCAAGAACAGGTCGAATTTGTCAAAAGTGTCTTGCCATTTGGCACTGGATGCTTCCTAGATGATTTTAAAAAAACATTTTTAGTTAGTCGATGTGTTACTTTATCTCGTTCGTAAAATAGCGTCAGATTTTAGTGCCCAGAGCTACCAGTGAGCTTTTGCCACATGGTTGAAATAGGGGTCGCTGCTCTTTACGATTTTTCGCTCTTACTCTTCGTCTCTGCATTCCCTGCTTCATCCTCCTTCTTCCCTCTTTGTTTTTATGTTCGTTCCATAACCTCCGTACCCAGAAAACCGTCGTAAAAACCATAATTCCGCACGCTTTTGGCTTAGCTCTCCCTCACACGATCAAAATGGGTTGCGCCATCAGTCGTTACTTTTTTACTGGCATTTAAATACCAGTAATATAAGCGCATCGATGAGCTTTGAATAACGATAGTTGCCGTTTGATTATCCTGGTTTTTAGATAGTCGGGAAATCCATCAGTACGGTAGGACTTCCTACCGGGTCTATTTTCTCGCTTTCACAGGCGCACTGAATCTCATTTGGAAATCGAAAACTGATCCTCACACAAAACTGTCTTCAACATACTATTCCAGAGCCCATTTCAAGACTATTTTGCGATGCTGGGTCCTTGTTTTAATTGGTTTTCACTCACTATATCGCACTAACACCATAATCAGTTTCTGGTTGTAGGGCAAAGGTTCCTAAATCCAAATTTTACAGGGGAAACAATTGATTTTCTCGTGAATCAGGATGACTAAGCGTTTTGAAAAAGTTTTTTGGTGGGATAATTTTGAGTACCCCTCAAGGCCAATTTAAAATTAGGGACCTTTCCGGTTTGAAGCAGATTGAGAAAAGCAGTTTTACAAGTTGAAGAGATTGGATTGTTTGATCAGGATTAATTTAATATGCTCCTTACTTCCAACGTATCAATGTTGGAAAAATACCGGCCCCTTGCTTCACGAGAAATGATAGCAACCGCCGCGCGCCGTGACGTTCTGAATGATACCACTAAACTTGCTCTGTAGCTACCGCATTGCCTACCGAGCAGATTGAAGGAGAACTAATTTTTTGACAAGTTGCATTGTCTGTCTTCTCAATTTCGCACATGCACATGAAGCGGTTTTTTCTAGAAACGTCGTATAAACGTTGCAGTGTTCCTCAGATGTTGTAACTTCATGATTTATTCGCAGCTGCATGGCTAGGTAATTTGAAAAATAATCAGCGTGAGTGTTCAATGGTCTTGCTACGCTTCGTATGAGCTACTTCACAGTCTGAAAATACAGTTGTGGAAATCTTCTACGTCGTTTTTATGAACAAATGCTTCATTTTCTTTTTTTAATGTTCAAACTTTATTGACAAACATCTGTTGTCCCAGTCAACAGCATCTATGCGTATAAAGATCACAAAGATGTAAAATATCATAAATGATAGTAATTTTTTAAAAAAAGAAAACATATTTTAGGGAAAATTTGTTGAATAATTTGGACCGAGTTCATCAGAAAGGAGCCAACCCTTATTGAATTGAAACTGAGAAAAATAGGTTTAAAGTTTTATTCCTGCATGAGGCTCAATGTAAAAAAATAAACGTGCACCCCTCTTTTCACAAAAAAAATTTGTTTTTAGACTTTCAGTTTTTGGCAGAGGAAAATATACAGCTAGTGAAGCTCAAGGACATTCTTAACTCAATTTTTCGAAAATGTGGGTTGGTTCTTTTCTGATGAACTCGGTCCATTTCTATGAATATACAATCGAGACTATTCTGAAAATTCTTAGAAAAATTCAAGCAGCACTTTTGCTTCTTAAACGTCTTTTTGACCGGTCGGTGTGTTACTCACCTGCAATATGAAACGTACGTTCTCAAGCGCACGTCTCTTTAACCTACGACCTTTGAGTGCTCGTAAATTCGATTGGTAGCTGACGCTCCGGTTGTAAATTTTGTATGGCGCGCCCACACCCAAGACGTTCAGGCTGCAATTTTTCAGCTCTCAACCTTATCTTTTCCCGCGCACTCAACACCGATCAATAGAAGCGTCACAACATTCCATAGTCAGACCTTTTGTCACTCTCGGAGCCCATAATAGCTAGTGCGGATTATAGTTTTACACGGAACGACTTGTCATGATTAAAAAGTTACACTGCCGTGCTAAGGAAAAACGCCGAATGAACATTCGGGAGTTGCCGCATTTTCTTCGATAAAATGTTTATTTTCGAGGAAGATTATGCACATTTTTCCTTTAAATTTTCGGAATCTTTACGTGAAATTCCAAAAATTAATTATGTACAAAATCGGGAGAATAATTCATAAGTTCACCAAGAAATTTGTGTTTTATCAAAGGAAATGTGGCAATGCCTAAAGGTTCATATGGCGTTTTTCCTTAGCACGACAGTACAGGTATTGCACGTTACAAGCGAGTGATTTGATATACACTGTTGAAAATCTCCAGAAGCTAGAGCTTATTTAGCCACCAAAAAGTTTGAGAAATATGAATTAAAAGTGAAATGGACCGCGTTAAACAGAAAGGAACCAAGCCACATCAGCTATTGCCAAATTTAATCGGGCGATTTAATTTTTTACATGAAAACGGTTGTGCGGATTTCTGTGCAAATCTCAGTGAATTTTTTCCATAATACAAAGCAAATTCCTTAAAATTTGCAAAGGAATCTGCACAGGCGTTTTTTCGTAAAAAATGTAATTTCCCTGTTAAATTTGGCAATAGCTGATGTGGCTTGGTTCCTTTCTGTTTAACGCGGTCCAAATCTGTTCCGTAAGATAAGAATTAACCCCTGAAAAAAATTTGATCCGCTCTGTAAGAGCAGAACTCAGCGAAAAGAGGAGGTTTGGCCCCCTTTCATTTTTAGTTGTGCGGGAGAAATAATAGTGCCTTTCATTATTTTCCTACGTTTTGTGAAAGTCATTGCATGGACTGAGAAGTTATGCAAATATTGTACGTCGTCTCTATAGAAAACTTAAATGAGTTCCGTATGAGAATAAGGGTCGACGGTGAAACTACAACCATTATCTTCATTTATTTCAATGGAGAAGTACTTGATGA